AAAAAAAAAAAAAATGAATGCATGGCCAAAAGAGCAACTCAAGGAAGTACAGGGAAAGGGGCTGGGGAGATAGCTCGGTGCGGTAAGTGCTTGCCTGGCAAGCTCAAGGGCCTGAGTTCAATCCCTGGTTCTGCCAAAAAAAAAAAAAAAAAGGAAGTACAGGAGAGCGTGAGGATCAGCTCCCTGCCTCCTCCAGTGAGAACTCTTTCAGCATCTTTGATGCATTTTTTTGGTAGATCACTTTACCCAAATTTAATTACTATCTACTGAGCTGGCAGGACATATGTTTTCAATTTAAGATTTCTTTCTTTTTTTTGTTTTTGGAGAACTGGGGATTGAACTCAGGCCCTTATGCTTGCCAGGGAAGTGCTTATTCCACTGAGCCATCTCCCTGGCCCCCTATTTAAGATTTTTTTTTTTTTTTGCAGATGTTTTCAATTTATTTTTATTTTTTAAATTTTTATTTATTTATCTATTTTTTATGTTTTCAATTTAGATGAGCGCTATTGTTATACTCAGGTAACACTGTCTCTTTCTACTCAGATTTGTATACTCTATTACATATTACGTAGTAACATATAAGACATTTTTAAAAATCCCCCCTGTTCTACTCCAGGATCAGAGCTGTCTCTGATTCATATGATTTATTCATTTAGGCCAATAAATATTTTTAAAACAAATTACTGTATAACTTTTGAGCATAGTAATCCAGGTCTATTGCCCTTTCAAACATAATGAGCAAACCCGTGTATTTTCTCTACCATAGGAATTATTTTCCAGGTATTTTTACAAACATTTGATATTCCAAGGTGCAGGTACAGCATTAGCTTCCAACGCTCGCTCCCTGTTGGTAGACATGGAGCTTATTTCTGGACTTCCATCATTAGAAACCGTGTTACTCATCCAGAATTGGTGTGTCCAACAATGTAAGAGCTTTGAATGCTTTGGAACAGAATTGCTAGATTTTTTTGACAGCTGATTTTCTAAGCCACTGAGGCCTAGAAAAATCCAAGCCATGACATGGTGCAGGTCGCTGGGACAGATGTCGGCCTGGAAGTCAGCGCCGGGTTCTGGCGAGGGCTGTGAGACCTTAGCAGTTTGCTTGACCACTCTGAGTTTCAAGAGTCTTCAAAGGTGAAGGTTTGAGGCTGGCCGGAGAGCACTGGCCTGGAATTTTTTCCACATTGTTCCCAGGCTGGCGGGCTGTTACCAGGCCCTAGATGGAGGCAACACCGCAGATGCTCTGGTGGACTTCACGGGGGGTGTTTCTGAGCCCATCGACCTGACCGAGGGTGACTTTGCCAATGATGAGGCCAAAAGGAACCAGCTGTTTGAGCGTGTGCTGAAGGTGCACAGCCGGGGAGGCCTCATCAGCGCCTCTATCAAGGTAAGAGCTCAGCAGGCCTCAGGCGGCTCTGCTCTGCAGCCCTGAGGGGAGGCCCAGGAGCTGCTGTGAGGTCAGCCTATAATCTGGACTGCCCGTCAGAGGACAGGATCTCCGAGACCACCCCAACCGTGTGCTGTGCTGTGCCCTGCAACTCATGCATCTGACACCCTCTCAGGCCCCTGTGACCCCACCTCAGGTCCCTAAGTCAAGCTGTAGGCGGCGACCTAGCGCGGTGGTCTCCACGCTGGGCCCTAAGTCAAGCTGTGAGGCATCAAGCTAGGTGGCAGCTGGAGCCCCTGTGGCAGGTGTGGCACAAGAGGCCCGTCCAAGCTCTTTAATTGCTTGGGTTCTAACGGGAAAGCTCAGTGTAGATAGGATTTGAACCCAGGTAGAGCCAGTCCTATGGCGCCTGACAAACTGGCTCATCCAATTAAAAAAAAAAAAAAAAAAAGGGCCTCATGGCAGTGGCGTAGACATTCCCATCATGGTCTGTTTCTAGGTACCAAGGTCTTAATAGCAGTTGGCCCTGACACACTGCAGAACTGTCCCCTTGGTGGGTCTGCCCTTTCCACACACTGCTGGTGGCAGGGTTTGTAAAATCTGTGGCCACAGTGCTGTCCTCAGTCTCAGCCAGCAAGGTCTGCCTTCGTGGGAGGCAGCGTCCACGGACTTTAGGGTTCCAGGCTGCTCCTGCTTCTCTGAGCGCCTGGCTTCTCCCACAGGCAGTGACAGCAGCTGACATGGAGGCACGCCTGGCGTGTGGCCTGGTTAAGGGCCACGCATATGCTGTCACCGACGTGCGCAAGGTGCGCCTAGGCCATGGCCTGCTGGCCTTCTTCAAGTCGGAGAAGTTGGATATGATCCGCCTGCGCAACCCCTGGGGCGAGCGGGAGTGGAACGGGCCCTGGAGTGACACGTGAGGCCCCCCGGGAAGAGAGCGTGGGCGGGCTTCCTGGCAGAGGTGGCCCTGGGGCTGGGTCCTGAGGGCTGTGGGGACGGATTAGCACAGAAGCGGGGCTGAGTTTGGAGGGGGTGGGGAGTGAGTGTCTGGCAGAGGCAGTGGCCTGGAGGTCTTGGAGACCTGGCTAGGAGGGCACAGGGACGCGGGGAGGCTGTGGGGCCGATGCCCTGGGCAGCATGGAGAGGCGGGAGGGGTGGAGCTCTCCTTCTGGGGCTGTGCTGCCCCCTGCCTTCCCAGTCTGCCCTTCCCTTCTAGACCTCCAGGCCTGGATGAGAACGCCCACAGTTCCCAAGGGGGTTTGGGGCAGGGCTGGGCCGGCCCAGTGTCTCTGTTCCCGAGGGTGGCCTGGGTCTGCGCTGCCCCCCAGCCTCCAGGTTCTGGTGTGGCTCTGGCTCTTACACCACTTCCTCGTCTGTCCCAGCTCAGAAGAGTGGCAGAAGGTGAGCAAGAGTGAGCGGGAAAAGATGGGTGTGACGGTTCAGGACGACGGTGAGTTCTGGTGAGTGCTGCTCCGGTGCCTGCAGGGGGCGCTTGGCACTCCGGGCCTGGCTCAGCCCCGGCTTCAGCCTGCTGCGCGGCCTTGGACGGGTTGCACAATCTCTGAGCCTTGGGTTCTACCAAGAGTTGGGTAGTCATGGGCCCTGTCATCCTGTAGCCCCGTCTGTCCCTCCGAGGGGACTCCATGTGCTCTGGCCCCATACTGGGCCCTTGGCATGAAGCCCAGGGTGCCAGCACGCCCTTGCCATGGGGTGCCACCACATTTAGAGAGGCCCTGGACCAGGTGTGCCAGCCCGTGCGTAGAAACAGGCTTGATGAGCTGGAGAGGTCTGTGTGTGTCCTGTTCGCACAGAGTCACACCATGTTGCCTTTAGCGCTCTGCTTAACCCTTCAAGGCCTAGTGTTCCACTTTTGGAATGCCCATAACAAAGGAAAAGAATAAATTTTTTTCCCTTCCAATTCTTGTTTCTTGAATTTTTCTAGGTAACATACAAGAATTTCACACAAACATTCAGAACATTGCTGTCTTTGGCATAAGTGGGTTAATTCCTGTGTTGGCTCTGTAAGGCAGGCCCTGTGAGCAGATTCATTGCTATTTTACAAATGAAAAGATTGAGACCTACAAGTTGGGTGTGTGGGTACTGGGTGCACTGGGACTCAGTAGGGTAAAGGGCAGGTGCGGGGCCACCTCACACGCCTGCCCCTGCCCAGGATGACCTTCGAGGACATGTGCCGGCACTTCACGGACATCATCAAGTGCCGCCTGCTTAACACCTCCTACTTAAGCATCTATAAGACTTGGGAGGAGGTGCAGCTGCGAGGGGCCTGGACCCGGCACGAGGACCCCCGGCAGAACCGCAGTGGGGGCTGCATCAACCACAAGGACACTTTCTTCCAGAACCCACAGGTGGGATCCGCAGGGATCTCCACTCTGCCCCTGCACCACCACAGGGCCCCCCCAGTGTCATACCAGTGACCTTGCATGCCTCCCTGTTTGTCTCTGGGCCTCCCCATACCCATCTGTACAGTGGGTGGGCATACTGGCCTCTGTAGGGCTTATGAAACCAGCTTTACAGTTTGACCTGTAGATGGTTAAAGTGAAGAACTTTGCTCTCAGGAAACTTGAGCCTCCTGCCCAGAGTCTCAGAGGCCAAGCTGGGAATCACATAATGCAGCATGGTTCTATTGGTTCTGGGGAACTTGGCCACAGCCCGTGTCACAACCTGTAACAATTGCTTGATGGACCTTTACTGAGCGCCAACCATGTGTCAGGCTCTGATCAGAGCATCCATTATCCCCTGAGTTCTCCTCGTCTTCGCACAGGGAAGCTGTTGTCGGCATTAGCAGTTCTGAGAGCTAGGGAATGGCTGGGGCCAGGCTCAAGCATTCATCTGTGGTGTGGTCTCATGGCAGTGTTGCTCTCTTTGGCCAAACTTACAGTACATCTTTGAGGTCAAGAAGCCAGAAGATGAAGTGCTGATCTGCATCCAGCAACGGCCCAAGAGATCTACCCGCAGGGAGGGCAAAGGCGAGAACCTGGCCATTGGCTTTGACATCTACAAGGTGAGGCCAGCAGGAACCCCTGCCCTGGGGGAGGAAAGGAGGAGGCTGGAGGCTGGGAGAACAGTCTCGAACACCTTGGACCTGTCCTTGCTGCAGCTGTCTGGCTGCATCAGCTAACCTACCTGAAACCTGGAGTATAGACTGGCAGGAGGGCTAAGAGAGGGGTCGCTGCTGTTGGGTCTGAGCTCAGGATCCCTAGAGTAACATGTGGCTCCCCAGTGCCCTCCCTCAGGGATCAGGGTCTCTCTCATCCCTGCAGCGCTCTGTGTAGGGGGCCTCCTGTGCCAGGAGAGGTACCCTTAACATTGGCCCCTCCTTGTGACCTGAAAACAGGACTTCCACACGTGGCCCGGCAGGACTCCACACACTTGTTGTACTGCTGAGAGCTAGCGGGAATCATGTGGGCATGTGAAACACTTCGTCCATGCTGGGCCTGGCATTTGATGCCCTGGGTCACATCAAGGCCATTTGTGGCCATCATTGTGCTGGTGCACCCTTATAATGTGCTGGTGGATGTGAAGCTCTGTTGTGACTACGGCATTCTGGGACACTTGTTTTGAGAAGGGCATATCTTGGCAGTGGGTGACGTCATGTCATGGATTTGTGCTGTAATGTAGGCAGCCATGATGCAGTGGGTTCCACCTGCAGGCCCTCGTAGCGAGCTGATACCAAGCAGGGCTACTTAGTGAGAAAGGGCGGGTAGTGTGAGTGGTATGGAAATGCTGGACAGAAAAGGGGATTCATGTGCTACACAGGGTAAAACGAGATGGAGTAAGAGTTCATCACATGGAGTAAGATTTTAAATTGTAAAAATTTAAAATGTGTGAATTGTTCCTTGCTAAGATTTTTAAATTATTTTTTCCATGCATAGTTCACTCCAGGTAACTGAAACCATGAAATGTAGAGCTGCAGACAGAGGAGGGGCTTGTGTGCAGCTCTCGTAGATACTTGTACTTGGTTCTTCTGTGACGGAAACCTCAGGAACATGCTTGGGAGGGTCCTCTGGACTTTTTTTTTTTTGGTGTTGGGAATTGAACTTAAGGCCTTTGCCCTGAATTGCTTCCCTGGCTCTTTCACATTTTTTTTTTTTGAGACAGGGTTGTACCAAGTTGCCCAGGCTGGTCTTGAGCTTGTAATCCTCCTGCCTTGGCCTGCTGGAGGGTTACAGATGTGTGCCACGTGCCTGGCCACTGCTCTTTTTTTTTTTTTTTTTGTATTTTAGGGAAGGGTCTACAGGGTGTTCAGGGTCTTACTACTTGATTGAACTCATAGTGATCAGCCTGCTGACAGCCTCCCGACAGCTGGGGTCATAGATGCCCCCCTCCACACCCAGTCTCAATTGCTGTCTCAGTGTGCCCCTCAGCCCCTGAACCTGCTTGCAGGTGCTTTAATCCTCTGAACTTTTTGGCCGGCCCCTGCTCTCCCTTTTTAATAGTGTTCAGTGAGATAAAATTCTTAGACCATCTACCTCACCCGTTTAAAGTATACAACCTAGCATCCTTTAGTGTCGGCACAGCTGCACAACCACTACCACGTTCAACTCTGAGCACTTTTGTCACCCACTAAAGAGACCCTGCTGCCTTGGGCCATCCCACCCAATCCCAGCGACCCTCCTCCACTGCAGCCCAGCCCGGGAAGCACTGGTCTTGCCTGTTCTGGACAGCTCACGTGCATGCATCCTGGCAAGGGGCAGATGGGTGGGCTGGGCGCAGTGGGGCTGATGGTAGCCCCTGCATCTCCCGCAGGTAGAAGAGAACCGCCAGTACCGCATGCACAGCCTGCAGCCCAAGGCCGCCAGCTCCATCTACATCAACTCCCGCAGTGTCTTCCTGCGCACAGAACAGCCTGAGGGCCGCTATGTCATCATCCCCACCACCTTCGAGCCAGGCCACACCGGCGAGTTCCTGCTCCGCGTCTTCACAGATGTACCTTCCCACTGCCGGTGTGCGGGGCTACATGGGGCCAGGGTTGGTGGGTACAGTCCACATGGGCTCCAAGGGGCTTTAGTCAAGTGGTGCTGAATATCTGCTGAGGCACGGAGCCAATGTCCAGTCCTCTGGGCTGACCCCCTGGCCCTCTCCGTTCTCTCCCTTTCCCTGGGCTCCTGTCCCAGCCCTTGGTAACAGCGGGTCATGTATACTGCAATTCCTAGTTTACAGAGAAGCTTTGCTGGCCTCATTTGATTGTTCCGTAGCCCTGAGCAGAGGCCTGACCACTCCATTTGTACATGCAGAGCTAGCAGGGTTGTCTGTCACATGGCCAGTGGTATGGTGACCACCCACCATCTGCCTGGCCTTGATTCCAGAGTTGGGATCTTGCTACCACTATGCCCTACCCCATGGGGAGGAAAACCCTTCTGGGGGCCCAGAGGCTTGTGAAACTATCGGCATCACCTCGGGTGTCCCATGCTGCTTTCCCCTCCTCAGCGCGGGGCCCAGACTTAATGCTAACATTAGCACCCCTCCCCCTCACTTGTTTCTTGGCACCCCTCTCCCCTCCCTACCAGAGAACTGCACCTGGATGAGCCCCCCCGCACCTGCTGGAGCTCCCTGTGTGGCTACCCCCAGCAGGTGACCCAAGTCCATGTCCTGGGGGCTGCTGGCCTGAAGGATACCACGACAGGTTAGCTCACCAGGAAAGCCCTGACTCTGTTGGCAGCTGCCCCAGGTCCTCCCTTCTAGAGAGCCCCCAGCCTCCAGAGCTCTCCTGCTCACACTCAGCAGTCAGCAAATCTTCCCTGGCATCAACTGGGGGACCTGGGGCCCAGAGACGAGAACAGAGCTACCGCCTGCCTGGCAGCTTCCTGTATGACAGGGAGGTCAGGTTGTGGACAGACACCTGACACAGGTGCTAAGGGAGGGCTTCTTGGGGGAGGCAGCCTTTCTGCAGGTTGAGAAGGGGTTAGGGTATAAAGCCTTGTGAAAGGAATGTGGGGAACAGGTGCTCTGGATGGAGGAACAGACCTGGGCTGGAGAGCACTAGTCCGCCTGTCACTTTAGGTTAAGGGGCCCTGCACTGGGTCAGGCTCCAGCCTTGTTTTCCCTTGAATGACTGAGGCCAGGAAAGTGTCTTACCTCCAGACATTTGAGTCCCAGCTTCCATTTCTTCTCTAGGGGCCAACTCTTATGTGATCATCAAGTGTGAGGGGAACAAGGTTCACTCGCCTGTCCAGAAAGGGACCTCAATGCCAGAATATAATGTGAAAGGCATTTTCTACCGCAAGAAGCCAGGCCGCCCCATCACTGTCCAGGTGAGTCCATGGGGCCAGATTCAGGGTCCCAGGGTGCTGGGCTTTGGGTGATCTGTCCCTCACTCCTGACATGGCTTTGGTATCTCTTGCCCACATCTCCTGCTGTACCAGCATCAGGTTGTACATGGGGATCTGTTTGCCAGTGTGATTCAGACACCAGCAGGGCCAGTCTCCTGGCTGGGGACATTGGTCATCTCTGATGGCCTTGCCCAAAGCTTGGGAGCTGCTTCTTAGAGTCCCCTGTGGGAGGACCGTCTGGACAGGGCTGCTGAGACGGTTTGGGCTGTGGTTGTTTCCTGAGAGCCTATAGCAGGGGCTGGAAAGCCACTGTCCCTGAACACAGCCTTCCTTCTCCTCTCAGGCCAAGGTGGCTGGTGCGTAATGATTCTGAGCTCATTAGTATGAAGTGCTCTGCCCCCCAGGCCCAGAGCAGCATCTCTCTGGGTGCAAAACCATCTGTAAACAACACTAGGGCACCCCAGGGGAGCCACTGGAGATTTTCCAAGTTTTCTTAACTCTGGGTCCCACTGGATCAAATCATAGACCCATGGCTACTGGGGCTAGAAGGACCTCAAGAGACAGATCCAACCCTCATATTAGTGATGGGGAACCTAAGGCAGGTCTGGGGGAGTCACTTGTTCAGGTTCACCCAAGGGCAGCAGCAGAACTAACAATAATCTTTTTGAGTGGAAGAGCACTTTGACAGGTGGAGAGCCTGAGGCTCAGGAAGGGGCACGTCCTTGCCCATGTCTGATGGTGAAGAGGACAACTCAGGCTCTTGTCCTCGCCAGGTCCACACTGTCAGGGTGATTCTGGTACCATCACCAGCACCCCCATGGGCCTGGTCTTAGGGACGGTCCCTCCCATGGTCCTCTGTCTCCTCCAGATCTGGAACCACCGACTCCTGAAGGATGAGTTCCTGGGCCAGGTGCACCTGAAGGCTGAGCCTGATGACCTCCAGGCCCTACACACCCTGCACCTCCGAGACCGCAGCAGTCGGCAGCCCAGCGACTTACCAGGCACCGTTGCTGTGCGCATCATTAGCAGTGCCTCCCTCACGGCCATCTGATGCCTGTCCGTCTGCCTGGCCATAATTCTGACCACCACCTGCATGTCCTCACCAGGAGACCTGGGACCAGGCTGGGAGCCAACACTAGGGTCCTTTTCCCACTCTTCCTCTGACTTGCTATGTGACCTTGGTGACCTCTTCACCCCTCAGAGCCTCAGTGTCCTGAGGATCCCAAAGTATTCCCTTCTTCTAAGGGAGGCTTCCTGCCTCAATTGAAAGTAGCCCTGCCACTCCAGCTGTCACCACTGCTAAGGGACTCTATCTGTTGAAAGGCTCTGCTGCCTGCTGAGGAGTGCCAAGAAGATGTCACTTGTTTACATACAAACTGCTCTGCCCAAGCCTCATCCTGGCCCTTTGCTTCCCAGGCCCACTTCTAACCGCCAGACCTCCCTTCCCATGGGACCTACACCAGGTCTTCAGACCACCTTGAAAGGACTTGCCGGGTACCTGCTAGGTTCCTGCTTAGGCTAGAAATGTGTGGGTGGCATTTGTCCATTCTCTAATCCTTTCCATGCCCCCATCCACTTATTAACCCTGTAGAGATTTGCCCTTTGAATAAGCAAAGTCCGGGAGGCTCCAGGGGATTGGCCTGGGCCCTGGCCTCTGCCCTTAGGTCTCCTCAGAGGCAGATCCTTGGATGAGCTGCAGCTGCTGGCTTACTCCAGGCTCTGATGTTACCCACAGTGCCTGGTGTGAGGTCCCAGGAAAGAGTGGCCATGAGTGAGGAAGGGGTACTTCCTGCCTCTGCTGCCCAATGTGGAAAGGAGTGTGCCCAGCTAGTGCGTCAGGTGGGGGGAGGGCCCATGGCAGAGGCTTCTGCTGCAAGGCTCCTAGGGGAAAGGCTCTGCTGTGGGAGATGCCACCCCTGGGATCGTGTCACCTAGTGGGCATGGTAGGAGGGAGGTAGCTCTGTTGCCTGGCCAGAGGCCACTCCCCCAAGAGCCAGGGAGGCCAGTGCTCTTCTTGCTGTCTGGACCAAAATGTTCTTTTTAGTCCTCACTGTTTTATATTCTTTCTGTTTTAGAAATCTCAATTTTAACCAGGGTGTTTTTCAAGAAGCCCTGAGCCCTCCTTTTCTTCCTTGAATTCTAGTGTTATCGGTCTTCTGATTTTATTTTGATCTCAACTGGGGAGGAAAGTGGATGAAACCAGACCTTCTCAGAGATGATCTGGAAGAGGGTGAAGAGGAAGGTATTTGTATCTGGACATCTGTTGGCTGGTGCCAACTTTGTCCCTGAAGAACTCTTGCCTGCTGGTGCCATGATCCGCTTTGGGTCTCCTCAGCACCCTCTTTGGCCTTCAGACCAGACACAGCAATTAAATGAGGAGCGCATCTGGTTCAAGAGCAGGAATTCCTTTTGGGACCGTGCACTTGGACTCCAGGCCTTGAAGTGTGGGCTGGTGACCTGGCGGGAGGTGCTGGATCCTCTGATTTGGCGTCCTTGCTCCCCAGCTGGCTGTGCTCCTGGATCCTGGCCCTGGGCCATAGGAGAGGCCAGGACCCAAAAGACAATAGTACGAGAGGATTCCTTCTCATAAGCTGGAGCTTCCCTCGAGAACCTGGGACTGGAACTCTGCACGTGATCAGGAACCAGTCACTTAAACCTCCTGTGCCTCGATTTCTCCCTCTGCAAAGTTCTTCCTACTTTTCAGCACTCTTGCCAGCAAGTGCTGAGTAAGGGCAAGGGAATGCCCCACCTCCGAGTGTGTCCCTGGATGCTTACACACTATACACGCAATCACGTAATCACCACTTTTCAATGTCTTCGAAATTAGGACACCCAAGTCAGTGCTGGAGAGGAGAGCACTAAGCAGCCTGGCCTCGGGCTGATGTGGGAGTCTTCTGTTCAGCCATATCCCCCTGCGACACAGGGGCAAATCAGGACTAGGTGGCAAGCCAGTGTGGGCTTCAGCCTGGGGGCCACAGTACCTCCCACCCCCAGCCAACTGTCTACAGCCCTCTGGATAGGCCAGGCTGGCTCCTGGCTGTGTGACTTATGTCCCTAGGAGTCCTGGGGGACTGGATAGGTGAGGATGGAGGGTGGGTCTAGGAGAGCAATTATTTTGTTCACTTTCTCACCCAATAAGCCCACAACCCACACCACTCAGACCTGGATTCCGCTGCTCTCAGGGCCCACCACGGAGTTAGGGGAGAGGAAGCCTGCTCGCTCTCAGAATAAATGTTACCGCAATTCCAGCAAGACTTTTCTTGTGTCTGTCTGTCCCTTGGGGAGGGGGTGACTGTCTTCTGGCCAGAAGACCTGCAAGGAGAGAAGCACACCTGTGGGAAGAGGGCAGAGTGAACCAAGCCCAGCTCTGTGGCTTGGATGTGGTCCCTGCAAAGGCTGCTGTGTTGGAAGGTGTAGACCCTTAGAGGGCTCAGCGAGAGGTGGGCAGAGGGAAGAGACGGCCGCTGTGAAACTGCATCGGTGCCCTCAAGCACAGGCTGCTAGAAAGGGAGGTGGCCACACCTCTGAGCTCTGCTCCGTGCAGTCCGTGGCTCCATGCCATCCTTTGCCAAATCATGATGTGGCGTCAGGCCACTGCCTGATGTGGCCTCCTGGCTTTGACTTTGCAGCCTCCCAAGCAACTGGCCTCTTAGGGATTGCCCTCCTTGTCTCGGGTGCTTTGTTATCACAGAACTGAATGCACAGATTTCTTCTTGGGAGTACAAGTGTGCAGTGTGGTGCGGTTGGAGGTGCCTGGGTCTGGCGGGTGTCCAGGAGGATGCAGCGGCTGCCACGGATCTGAGATTTTTCTCCCCAGCCTTTCCACGCCACCACCCTCCAGCTGATGATTCCCACTGGTCTTCCACCTCGGCTCCTGCTGTGGGCTGTGGGCTGTGGGCGGTGTGTGCTCCCCAGGCTGCTTGCACTGCCCCAAGTCTGGAACATTTGAGAGGAGCTTGAGGAGCTCCAGTGCTAAGTAAGCAGCTGCGAGTGAGACTCAGAGGTGGAGACCCTCCTGCCAGGGTCGCTGGGGGACACCCTGAATCCGAGGGAGCCAGGCCTAGCAGACCCTGCCTCCCCAAAGGGCCCGGCACTCTGAGCTGGGGGGGAACCTTGACCAGCAGGGGGCGCTGGAGGCCCTCTGCACCTGGAGGCTTCCTGAGGACACAGCCACCCTTCTCTTGGAGACCAGGAATCACAAAGTTCCCGTTTCTGCAGGACCGAGCTAGAGCCAGCTAGAGCCGTACCTGGAGAGGTGCAGGGGTGGGGCCCAGACACTGAGGGAAAGGACGGCCTCAGGAAGGAGCTCTCGGCCTCCCGTGCAACCACACCTTCCACTTCGTCCTCCTTGTGTGGCTGCTTCCGCAGCGTTAATTGTTCTAATGTGATGCACACCGATGGCTGGGAATGTAGGGGGGTCTGACAAATGCTAGCTTGTGCATCCAGGGCCAAATAAATGAAAAGCACTAGGATTCGATTTTCACATCAAAGTGTGTCAAGTACCAAATTGGACAAGTTTCAAGGCTGTTGGGTATGACCATGCCTACAGGCAGGAATGTAGCTAGCTGGTGTGGCAAAGCTTTCAGACAATTACAAAAGAGCAAGTTGTGGGGGCAACACCGAGTGGGTGAGCTTCAGGAGATACACGGAAGGATGAGGTCTGGACCACAGAGGGAGCGTGTGCGGGTGAGGGGGGCTGGGGGGGGGGACAGGCTCCGCACTACTCCTGCTGTGCTGCCGCTGGCCAGGCCTTGTCAGGGTTTCAAACAGTATTACAGCAGAGAGTGGCTGGGAGGAGACTTCAGCAAATCAGTGACCAAGTTAGGATCAGAACCAGGTTTCCTGATAGGTGTCGAGGCAGCAGATAGAGGTACTGCGAATGACAGGAGACACCTGGGGCCTCTGTGTGACCCTGGGCCTCACAGGAGTGTTCAACAGAGCAGAGGCTGCAATGTCCCTGACTCCCTGTTGGCTGGTGGCGCTCTGTGCAGAGCCCTGGGCAGCCTCTGGACAGTAGTCCCAACCCAGCCGGCCCCCCCACGTTGATGTCACCACACCTAGACCTTGGAGGCCCCCTTGGGCTCCGCCTCCTGGGAGAAGGCTCTGGAGCGGAAGGGGAGGGTGACAGTGTTGGCTGGACAGCCGTCTGGACAAAGAGAACAGCAGAGAGAGAGAGAGAGAGAGAGAGAGAGAGAGAGAGAGAGAGAGAGAGAGAGAGAGAGATCGGGGCAAGCTGAGGGGAAGACCCAGCAGCAGGGGTATATATGCAGACTGATCTGGACCGGTGACCCCAACTTCTTGATTCCTGGGACACTGGGACTCAGGTAAGGATGGGTTGCCCTTGTCCTGGCACAGGGAGAGGGCATTTTGCACTCCAGAAGAAGCCCCTGCCCCTACAGCTGCTTGCTGAAGCATTTTTGCCACCCATAGGGGCTCCACCACAGCGGCCATCGGCTGAAATTGTCCTGAGCTTGGGAAGATGGAGATTTGTATGTTGGAGAAGGGCTGGGGCTGGGGCGCATCTGAGGGCCAGGGGAACAGGCAGGTAGGGTGGTAGAGAGAGTGCAAGAAAGGGCTCTATCCCTGCCTCTCAGGCTCCTTTGGTCTCTCTGACCCCCTTGGCTCTCCTTGGATAAGTCACTTCCTTTCTCTACACCCCAAGTTTCCCATCTGTTACTTGGGAGTGTGTTACCCACCAGACAGGACTTTAGGGGGTCAAGATGGCATCAGGCCTGGACTTGAAATACAAATACTGCCTGTGTTCCCCACTGTCAATTTGAAAAGCAATGAACTTGACATGGTCTAGCTCTTATTTTTAGAAATAAAGTGCATACCTTGTAGTTTTCCTAATGGGTGGGCCTTGACTTCTACCCCTTTGCCATCCTCTAAAGCCTTACACTTTCATAACAACCCTGGTTTGCCCCCTGACTCTCTCTGCCCCCATCCTGATCCCGGTGTCAGCACAGTGGCCCTGGAATCCTCTCCTGTGGCACAGGTGGCACTGGCCCTTCTTGCATTTTCATCCCTGCCAGGCACCCAACCTATACAGGAAAGACCACATATCCTCTGGAATCCAGAGCTCCAGGCCTCCATCCTGAGGTCAGGGCTCAGGTGTCAGGCAGTGTCATGGGCAGAGGATCAGATGCTCCAGTGCCTCTGAATGGGCCCTTATAAAAAATTCATGTCTTGGTGGCAGGTGGGGCTCTGAGGGGGCCCATGCCATGGCCCATGGTCCAGAGCTGCCTTAGTGGCCACACTTATCCCCAAGTCCTTCCTGAGTCCATCTCTGAGCCTGGATGAGGCTGGAAAAAAGGTGACAGCTCAGGCTCGGGCTCTGGCCTGGCCCTGGCCTGGATCTGCTCCCTGGCTTTAGGAGCACAGGGAGGGGCAGGCCTGCTGTGTAACCTTGAGACAGAACCAGGTCTCCTTCTGTCTCTGGGCCCCTTTGCCCAAACAAGTAGATGTGCTCCTTCTTGGGGGCCTCTGGATGACAGTGGCTAAGAGAACAACGGTGGCTCAGCTTCTCTGGGCAACAGTGCTGGGGAGAGAGATGAAGCTTGGGTCATTGGGGCTGGCCTGAGGCCAGAGGAGAGAAGCCAGGGAGGGTTCCCCGAAGGAGGCGGGTCTGTGGCTTTGAGGAGGTGCCCTGGTGACCCCTGTTGGCTCGAAGCTTCCAGGGCTGTTCTGCCCAGCGTGGCATGGTCTCTCTCCCGCAGAACCACATCTGCTGACAGCAGGGAGCAGGAGCGCTGACGCAGAACCATGGTGATTCTTCAGCAGGTGAGTGCTTCGCTTCTCACGTCTGAGAGCTGACCTGGTCGGTAGCTCACCTGCTGCTGTCCCACCCTCTGGTCTATCCAGTCTCTGCTTCGGGGTGGAATGCCCCTCCCATCTTATCTCTTGGGAGATCCCTAATCCGCTTTAAAGCCCAGCTAAGAAAATTTCTTGCCTTTTGGAAGTCTGGGACCAGCTCCCTCTGATGCCCCCTGGGCCTTCCTCCTTCCACTGACTGCCCCAGGGGACAGAAGCCTTGATTCACCCACATCTCAGAATCCCTACATTTCTAGCTGTGGACTTGACTGGGAAGGACCCTGAGGCTGAATTGTCCCAAGGGCCTTGGGCAGCAATGAGAGGGGACAGCATGGCCCAAGTGGAATCCCCTGGGGTTTTATGGGAGGAGGCAGAGGTGTTGCCACTCAGTCAAGCCCTCCAGGACCCCTTCATACTCCACTGTGGCCTCAGGGCCTCAGCTTTTTCCCGTGACCAGCCTGAGGCCCTAATGAGCTTGGTCTCCAGAGCAGGATCCAGGAATGTGGGCTGCAAGCCAGCGGGGGCTGGCACAGGGCCTCAGACTCACTGAACGGGTGATGTGGGGACTTGGCCAGCAGCTTCCTGGGCCACCAGAGGCACCACAGCAACCTTCTTCTGTAGGGTATTTTAGCTCAGGTAGGCTCTGGCTGACTGGAGCCCCTGGGCACCCCCTTCCTCCCTTCTCTGGATGCTGCCCACCTGCCCTGCAGGGCCTCTGCTGGGGGATGCATGAGTAGCTAAATGTTGGCTCTGCCCACCCCTCAAACAGGAGTGCCTCTGGCCCATCGGGGCCCAGCTCTGCCGAGCTGGCCACCTCTGCAGGTCTGTAAGGTAGAGCACACACACCTGGCTCCATCCTGAGCTTTGCTGTTGACGAGAGGGAGGAGCTTAGCACACTTACCTAGCCGTCCCTGAGCTCTGTGTCTTCCCCGGAGAGTGAAGAGGAAAGTCCTCTTCTCTGCACTGCTATGGGGAAGCTCAAGCCCACACCTCCTTCCACTGCCTTCCTGCTTTCCTGTCTTCCCAGGCTGCCCTTCTTGCCTGGTGATCTCTCCTCAGGCTTGGGAGCTGTCCCTGCTCAGCTACCAGTCTGATCACACTCTTCTCTCACTGCTGGGCTGGGCTGCCGCCTCCTCCTCCCCATCTCTTCAGCCTCGCCCTGGCCCCCTCTGCCAAGTGAGCGCAGGGGAGCAAGTGCATTATCGCCAATCCCAGAGGCTGGGTTTGAGTCCTGGTTCCTTCACTCTCCAGCTTGTGGCTCTGGGAAGATTGCTGCGCCCATTTTCTGCTTATGTAACAAAACCCTGATAATGGTACTAACCTGAGACCGCAATGCCAGGGCGTATAGAATGATGGGCTCAGTGCTGGGGCAGAGCGCCACAGACACTTCCACAACCACCACTGATACAGTAATACTGAGTGTCCCTGGGAGTGACACCCCATCATCCTTTATTGTCCCTTTATTTGGAATAAAAAATCTCAGGAGACCTCAAAGAATGCAATGATTCTTTCTCCATGTATAGAATCAGCCCATGAGGGATATACCAGTGACCAAGACTCGGCCATCTTCCATCCTTCATACACCCATGCACCCATCATCCCCACCTTTCTGAACCCACAGGGGCAAGGGGCACTTTCATAAAAATGGTCCAAGAGCCCAAATATTTCCATTGATGAAGAAGGCTTATTCATTTGGTAAGGGCTCTGTTAAGCAGAATAGAATCGCTGGTCAGCTCTCCGATGTGCCAGGCATGCTACACACAATCTCATCTCATCGCAAGTCTAGGAGGTAGGCACCTTTGAGACTGTACCCCCAGCTCAGACTGCATATTGAAACCTGAGCTGGGTGCACCTGGACACAGCAGAGAGCCATGCAGATAGGTAGGGTAGAAGAGGAGGGTGGCACAAAGGTGTGGGGAGAACAGATCAGACTGGCCACACTAGGTGGCATGTACCTGTGGCAGCATGGGCAGACCCATTGTCTTTATGGGCTTGGGAGTATAGTTGGGGTGCATGGGGATTCCTGGGGTGTCTGAGGCTGCCTCCTCCAGCCCCATCTTACCCACCCAAGCAAAGCAACACTGAGCCCTTTTCCTTCATGCCAGGTGGGGCAGCAAGAATGCAGAGAGTAACTAATCCCTGTCCAGGCAGTTTCTAGAGGGGCAGAGGGCTACCAGAAAGAAACTCTACAAATAGGGTTGTGACAGCCAGGGCTCCAGGGAAACAAAGCATGAACATGGGCCTGGGGATGTGGATGTGGAGGCTTCTGCAGGGGTGTGGGCAGGGAAGTTGCGAGGCCATGATAGTTGTCCTGCACAAACACACGGGACTGAGGGCTCAGGAGGACTTGTGGGAGCAGGGAGCATGAGAGTATGGGCTGGTGGCAACTGGGTCAGTCCTCAGGAAGTATATTGTAAGGGTATAGACCTCAGATCTGTTTGGCCTCAGAGTAGTGCAGATACCCCAGGTCTCCTCTGGGTGCTGTTCAAGTGGAGTCCTTCCGCCTCTTTTTCTGTGCCTTGGGGTCTTAAGTGAATCGCTTGGAGGTAGCAAGCACGAGGTTATAGGTTTTTATTCATTCTACCATGTCTACCTTGTTGTGGGAGAGGGTATGATAGAATTCAGGGTCTTTGCACTGAGCTACATCCCCAGGCCTTTTAAATATTTTTATTTTTAGACAAGTTCTCTCTAAATTGACCAGGTAGGGCTTAGACTTCCAGTCCCCCTGGCTGAGTCTCTCAGAGGATTATAGGTGTCACCACCATTTCCAGCTCATTACCCACCTTTTAATTGGAGAATTTAATCTATTTATATTTAAGATAATTTCTGCTAAGAAAGGACTTCTGCTTTGCTATTTGTGTTAGGTTTTAATATCATTCCCTCGCAATTACTCCATTACTGACTGCTTTTGTGTTTAGTTTGTCCTCAGATACTGATTTGATTCTCCTTTCACTTTTTCTTTTATAAGATTTTCTGTTTATTTTATTTTTTGTCTTTTTGAGACAGGGTCTCACTATACAATTCAGGCTGGTCTTGAACTGACTTTGTAGCCCAGGCTGGTCTTGAATTCACAGTGATCCTACAGCCTCAACCTCCCAAGTGCTGAGGTGTACTTCACTATGCCCAGGTGTTTTCTTTATTTAATTTTTTTTCTAAAAGTATATTTCTTTAAAGATTAGCCTTCAGTTTACCATTACCATCTTAAGTGTACAGTATAGTTAAAGACCAAGTTAGCTTCGATAAGTACATAAAGATTACATTTTCATATAGTTCTATCCATCCTTTTCTGCTGTCACAAATTATTGCTTTATCCATTGTGCATCTATTAGCATAGATTTGTCACTATTTTGTGCATACAGTGATGTTAATTAAATCCCTAATGTGGTGATAGCCATGCCCACTACCGGCCTCCACAACTTGTCATACTGCAAAAGTGAGGTTTCACTCACCAAGTGGTAACCCTTCCTTCTCACCTGGGTCCTAGAAATCACTACACCTTCTGTCTCTTCGAACTTGACGACCCTGGGTGCCTCATGTAAGTGAATCACAGAATTGTCTTTTCATATGGATTATTTTACTTAGCATAATGTCCTCAAAGCTGGCCCATGTTGTAGCGGGTGACAGAATTTCCTTCCTTTTTTTTTTTTTTAATAATTTTATTGAGAAAGAATTAGCAATGAGATAGTTTCAAAACAGGTTAGTAGTACAGTTGTAATACAGTTACAATAGTAATACATTGTATATTGTAGTCTTTGTAGTAATTCCTAGTACAAGATGCAGACATGATATCTTCTCTAAACACTATTAGCTCAAAACCTTCTTCTCACTGAACTAAGAGCAAGTAGCTGTATATTTATGCTAATATATATATATTTCCACTACACAATGTTCCACTTATATCCCCTTTTTTGTTTACTTTTGTCAGAGATGTATATTCCATTGCCATTCATATATTGTAGGTGGATGAATTCAGCAGAGTAATCCAACATAGTCCAGTAGTCTATAATAGTGGTGGGTTATCTGCAAGACTGGCAGTGTCAGAAGTTGCTGACTTGAGCCTTTTATAGCTCAGCATATTAATATGGCTTTACTTTTTATACCTCGATTTTATACTTTTCTGCTGGATAGTTAAGACCAAGATAAAGAAAGATCTATATAACAAAAAATGTAATTTTTGTATCTGACAAGGTCAGTCAAATCCCCTCAGGACTTACCCTGAAGCCCTGTACAGCAGTTTGTAGATCTTTTGTCATTGTCAGCCATGTGGATGAGTCACGGCCATTGCCTCACCAATGTGCTCTCTGAGAAAGCCTGAGAGAATGTTTTCTCTCCATGTGACTCTCCTTAGACACACTCTACATCATCGATCACTTTCCTCTGTGGCCCCATAATCTCCTTGATCAGAAAATTTGGGACATCACTGAGTTACACGATATTATAATACAGGTTCTCGTATGTCCTGAGTCTTCACTGACCTTGAAAAAAATTTCCTTCCTTTATGAGGCTGGACAACAGTCCGTGAACACAGCACATTTCGTTTATATGCTCATCCGCTGATGGGCACCACCTTGTGAGTGGTGCTGCGGGATATGGGTGCAAGAGCAACTCTTTGTGTACTTGCTTCCAGTTCTTTTGAGGGCTGCATCTGCCAGAATGGAGGTGCTGACTCATATAGTCATATAGCAACTCTGTATTAAGCTTTTTGAAGAACCACCACACTGCTTCACACAGTCACTGTATTATTACCATCAGGAAAGACACAGGCAATTCTGATTCCCACACTTCCTCACCAACACTGGCTGTCTGTTTTGGTAGTCAATCAGTCATGGTAATTTTTATTTTTTTATGTATGTATTTAGGACAGGGTCTACAGGGTCTCACTATACAGATGGACTCAGTGATCCTCCTGTTCTCAGCCTCCCAAGGCCTGGGATAATAGGCTGGCACCACCACACCCAGTCTCATTCACC